TGGTGCGGTCGGAGGGTTGAGGGGTGGGTGGGGTTTTTGGCGTCGAGGGGTTGAGGGGGCGGGGTTGTGGTCGAGGGGGTTGTGATGGGGTGTTTTGTTGGGTCGCAGGGCTTGAGCGGAGGAGTATGTGGTCGAAGGAGTTGAGGGGGTTTGTGGTTTGCAGGGGTTGTGGGTCGGGGGGTTAGGGGGGGAGCGTTGTGGGGAAGTGGCCCACTTTAGGGAGCAGGGGAGAGGGGTTTGAGGGGAATCGGTTCACTGGGGCAGAGAGGGGGAGGGGTAGGGCGAGTCGTAAGGGGGGAGAGGGGGAAAGGGAGAGCGGTAGAGAGGTGAATCCGGCTAGGTAGACAGGGGGGAGGGGAGAGGAAGTAGCCCACAGAGGGGAGGGAGGGTTCGAAGGGAGAAGGGAGAGGGAAGCAGGGCTATGAGGCGGAGGGAGAGTGGGAAAGGAGGGGAAGTGGGAGAGGGAGGTAGCTTTGGTGAAGGGAAGGAAGGTGGAAGCGGGAGGGGAGGTTGGGGGGAGGTAGCTTGAGGGGGGAGGGTGGAAGGGGAGGGAGGGCTTGAAGGGAGGGAAGTGGGGGGAGTAGCTTGAAGGGGAGGAGGGTGGAAGGGGGAGGGAGGGCTTGAGGGTGAGGAGAAAGGTGGAAGGGGAGGGAGGGGCTTGACGGGAAGGGAGGGCCTGAGGGGAAGTGGCTTGCAAGGGGTAAAGGGGAAGGGAAGTGAGCACACCGCGGCAGAGTAGGTGTCAACACTGGGAAATTCGGCTGAAATCTCATATTCCGGGCGAGGGGAGGGGGGAGGGAGGGGCCGGTGAAAAAAGGCGAAATTCCCCGAGGCGGAGGGCGGCGGCGTCGCGGCGGGCGAGGGAGAGTGCGCTGGTGGACGAGGGCGGCGGGCGAGGTGTGGCAGGGACGAGGAGGCGGCTGTGGACGAGGCGGCGGGCGGGCGGGCGAGGAGGCGCTGGTGGACGAGGGCGGCGGGCCGGGCGGCGAGGAGCGCTGGTGGACGAGGGCGGCGGGCGGGCGGCGAGGAGGCGCTGGTGACGAGGGCGACGGGCGGCGCGAGGAGCGCTGGGGACGAGGGCGCGGCGGGCGGGCGAGGAGGCGCTGGTGGACGAGGGCGGCGGGCGGGGGGCGGGAGGCGAGGAGGCGCTGGTGGACGAGGGCGGCGGCGGCCGGGCGAGGAGGCGCTAGGAGTGCGACGAGGGCGGCGGGGGCGGGCGAGGGCGCTGGGGCGAGGGCGGCGGGGGGGCGCGGAAGGGAGGAGGTGGAGAGGGCGGCGGCGGGCAGCGAGGAGGCGCTGGTGGACGAGGGCGGCGCGGCGGTCGGGCGCGAGGAGGCGCTGGTGGAACGAGGGCGGCCGGGCGGGCGGGCGGGCGAGGCAGGCGCTGGTGGACGAGGGCGGCGGGCGGGCGGGCGAGGGAGGCGTGGTTGGACCGAGGGCGGCGGCGGGCGGGCGAGGAGGGCTGGTGGACGGGGCGGCGGGCGGAGGCGAGGCGAGGAGGCGCTGGTGCGGGCGAGGAGGCGCTGGTGACGAGGGCGGCGGGCGGCGGGCGAGGAGGCGCTGTGTGGACGAGGGCGGCGGGCGGGCGGCGAGGAGCGCTGGTGGACGAGGGCGTGGCTGACGATCGAGGAGGCGCTGGTGGGACGGGGGCGCGGGCGGCGGGCGAGGAGGCGCTGGTGGGACGAGGGCGGCGGGCGCGGGCGGCGAGGAGGGCTGGGTGGACGAGGGGCGGCGGGCGGGCGGGCGAGGAGGCGCTGCTGTGGACGAGGGCGGCGGGCGGGCGGAGGCGAGGAGGGGCGGCTGGTGGACGAGGGCGGCGGGCGGGCGGGCGAGGAGGCGCTGGTGGACGAGGCGGCGGCGGCGGCGAGGAGGCGCTGGTGGACGGACGAGGGCGGCGGGCGGGGCGAGGAGGCCGCTGGTGGACGAAGGGCGGCGGCGGCGGGCGAGGAGGCGCTGGTGGACCGAGGCGCGGGCGGCGGGCGAGGAGGCGCTGACGAGGGCGGCGGGCGGGCGGCGAGAGGCGCTGGTTCGGGGGGACAGGAGGCGCTGTGGACGCTTTCTTTCGCTTCTTATTTCTCTCTCTCTCTTTTCTATTTCTTTTCTATTTCTCTCTCTTCTATCTACTATCGATCTATCTATCTTTCTCCCTCTCTCTCCCTCCGTCTCCCTCGCTCCCACCCCCATCTCTCTCTCTCTCTCTCTCTCTCTCTCTCTCTCTCTCTCTCTCTCTCTCTCTCTCTCTCTCTCTCTCTCTCTCTCTCTCTCTCTCTCTCTCTCTCTCTCTCTCTCTCTCTCTCTCTCTCGCGTCATACTTTCGCTGTCAAAAGAGTTCCTCCATAGAGCAAATCACGCACCGTCCTTGACATCAGTAAAAAAAAAGAAAAAAAGAAGAAAAAAAATATCCCAACCCTTTTAAACGCGTGACAGATTATATAGCGTAATATACATCCATTTTTTTCTTTTCTTGTTTCTTTTTTTTCCCTCCCTCTCTCTCTGTTTTTTTTTTTTTTTTTTTTTTTTTTCAAAGCCTGTGGTTGTAATTTCTTGCGACCCACTGACATACAAGCGGGGTTAATTGGGGGCTGCAAAGACTTTGACCTCGGACGGGGGGGAAAAAAGGAAAAAAATAAAAAAAAGGTCGGTAATGGTAGGTTTCGTCACCGAGCTAGTAGGAGAAAACTGTGGGTTCGTTATCGTGTTATTTTTTGGCGGTCGTTACTGCGAGGTGTTGTATGAGGCTTTGGTGTTGTATGTAGTTTTTGTGGGGGGGGGGGTATAGAGTTTTTGGTATATTTCGTTATGTTTTTGGGTTGTTTAATTTGTATGTATTTGTTCTACACACACACACACAACACACACACACACACACACACACACACACACAACACACACACACACACACACACACACACACACACACACACACATATATATATATATATAATATTATATATATAATATATATATATATATATATATAATATATATATATATGTGTGTGTGTGTGTGTGTGTGTGTGTGTGTGTGTATTGTATATATATATATATATATATATATATATATATATATATATATATATATTATATATATATGTATATATATATATATATATATATATATATATATATATATATATATATATTATATTATAGTTGGCCACACAAAGCTTTGTTGTAGTTTCTTTGTAGTGGAAAATTTTTGTTTTTCTATTTTTTCTTTTTTTATTCGGTTTTGACTTTTGTTTTTGCGGTCTTTCTGTGGGTTTCGTTATTTGTTGTTGATGCTTCTTTCTTTCTTTCTTTCTATTCGTTCCTTTTGTCTTTCCCCTTTTTTCATGTTCTTGTTTTTTTTTTTTTTTTTCTTTCACTTTTCTTTTTTCTAAATAAAAATCTTCATATTCCCTTATTTTTTCCTTCCGTCTTTTTGTTTTCCTTAATCCATTCTTTTGATTCCACTCTCGTTTCTTCTTTTTTGTTTTGCTTTTGTTCGTACTTTTATCTTTTTTATTTTCCCCTTTATTTTATAATTTTTCAGTTTGTTTTATTTCTTTCTTTATTTTATATATTTTTTCCCTTTTCCATTTCTCTTGTTCTTTTCTTTTTCTCTTGTGTCTCTGTTCTTTTTTTTTTTTTTTTTTACTACGGAATATATATATATATATATATATATATATATATATATATATATATATATATATATGTGTGTGTGTGTGTGTGTGTGTGTGTGTGTGTGTGTGTGTGTGTGTGTGTGTGTGTGTGTGTGTGTGTGTGTGTGTGTGTGTGTGTGTGTGTGTGTGTGGGGTATTCATGTTTGCGTTAGGGATTATCTTTTCATTCTCAATGGTCGCGTAACTTTCAATAGATTATTGAATCCCAGCTAATATCTATCGAGAATATCTGTCTATCGTGCATCATATCTGTCTGTTGTGAATAACATCTGTCTATTATTAAGATTTCTGTCGTTAATGGAGGCTGTCACTCGTGCATAATATCTAACTGCCGTGGATGGAGTCTGTCGCTCTCTCTCTCCCTCTCCTTTTCCCTCTCCTTTTCCCACTCTCTCTCCCTTCTCCTTTTCCCTTCTCTCTCCTCTCCTTTTCCCTCTCTCTCTCTCCTCTCCTTTTCCCTCTCTCTCTCCCTCTCCTTTTCCCTCTCTCTCTCCCTCTCCTTTTCCCTCTCTCCTCTCTCTCTCTAGTGTGAGCGTATGGGGGGGCGTTGTTTACATGTAGTCGAAGCCCTTGCCAACAGCTGCTTATTCATGGCTTTTCCGTCTGAAGTTTAAATATAAAACGAACACGCATGCGCACTTAGGATACAGCGAAGTGGACATCCATGTTTTGCTTATAACATGTACGTTTGTGAATACACGTGCGCATATATACATACATGTAAATGGCAGTAAGTGCGCGTAAACATAGTCACACATACACTCATTTACTTTCAATCTTTATTCTTACTTTCACCCAGACTCTGATTTTGACTCTCACTCTCTCTCTCTTCTCTCTCTCTCTCTCTCTCTCTCTCTCTCTCTCTCTCTCTCTCTCTCTCTCTCTCTCTCTCTCTCTCTCTCTCTCTCTCTCTTCTCTCACACACACACACACACACACACACACACACACACACACACACACACACACACACACACACACACACACACACACACACACACACACACACACACACACACACACACACACACACACACACACACACACACACACACACACACACACACACACACACTCACGCGCACGCACATCCATCAGTAGACAAAAGGGAAGTGATTTAGCGCCGGAAACTTGCAAGAGGGAAGCCAATCCATCACTGCTTTTGCGGGAATTCCTTCGAAGCGCGAGATTTGTTTCGAAAGATTAAAAAGTTACGTCGATTTTTAACCTTGCAATTGGGAAAAGATGGACGGCTTGGCGTTTCATTTCCGTGGTGGAGCTCTGATGGGTTTATTGTGAAAATATTGTTATGTTTTTTTGTATTTTTTTAAAGGCAGGAATTTGGTTTTACGTCGATATTTTTTGTGTCTCTAGCGAATGAATTGTTGAACTAACGTGGAAGTATATCGCAGGATAAGCGGAATATATTTTCCTTTAGCTTCTGAATCTCGGTGTCGACGAGATCCCCGAAGCCCAGGAAACGAAAACGGGATAATACACTTGAAATCTTTCAAAGACGACGGTGTTTTTTGACTTCCCGAAGACTGCGCCCCGAGGTCTTCGGATTTCCGAGCTCTGTGGCCGTTGCTGAGATCTCCGGGTATTTTGAGCCCATCAAAACACGGAGGAGATCCTTGGAGCTCCCTGAGGAAGACTTAGGAGTGCGAGCGAAGGAGGAGGAGGAGGCTTGGGCGGCCTCGCGAGGACTGCATGCGAGGATGGTGGTGAGGCAGCGGCGAGCCTCGGTGAGGAGAGAGCATCGCCTGCTGGAGGTCGAGTCTGCCCCCGACCTCGCCCTCTGAGGTCCAGGCCCGAGGACCTCCCTAGACGTCCCCGCAGGACGAGGGGGACCTGTGACTGGGTCTCCTCGCAGGACCTTTGCAAGGACCTTTTTGTTTTCTTCGGAGAGTTTGCGAGTCTTCAGGATGGTGGGCCGACTGATGGTCGAGGACGAATACACGATCAACGTGAAAGTGCGCCGCCCGCTGGGGGAGGAGGCGTGCCTGGCCCCGCCCACGATCACCATCACACCTGACTCGTCCCGCATCACCCTCACGCCCCCCGACAACTCTACCCTCACCTACGCCCACGCCTCCAAGAGTGTCAATGGCTCGCCGCCCATGGCAGTTGGCTGCAGCACTCTGCCCCGCAGCTCCGCCTCCTCACGCGGCTCCTGGGCCACGCTGCCGCACCCGAGCCGCCACGCCGCCGGCGCCAAGCCCAGCGGCAGCGGCCTCGAAGTGGCGCTCGCCAGCAAGGCGGAGCCGCCCGCCGCCAACTACGTGGGCCTTTCTCTGAGCAAGAGCCTGGGGAAGCAGGTGTACGACAGCGACGAGGCCCCGGCGCTCCGGCAGCAGATCATGCCGCCGCCGCCCCCTGAGCGCCGCGCGCCCCCGGGGCTGCTGCCACTGACGGCGCCGCTGTCGCCGTGCTCGCCGGACCTGCCTCTGTCCCCGCCAGCCGGCGTAACGCACGGCTGCCTGCCGCTCCCCATCATCCAGGTCTTCGCCGACGACAGCAGCCACGTGGCCACCAACAGGTTCATCGCGCCCCCGAGACTTGTGTCCCCGCACGAGGGCGTGAGGCGGCAGGGGTCTCCTCGGCCCGTCGACCGCTCGGCCAGCCACACCGCCGCCGGCTGCCTGTACGTGCCGCGGATCCCCGAGCATTGCAAATCGGACAGCGGCATGCTGTACGTGCCGCCCGTGGACGAGCACAACCTGAGGCAGTCCAGGAAGGACGGCCCGCCGGCCAAGGGGAACTCGCGGCGCAGGAAGGCCATCGAGGCCAGCCCGGACTCGCAGGGGCCGACGCCGACCGGAGCGCCCGCTCCTCCCCCGGCGCC